TTAACAAGTTCCCTTGCTTTCTGCTTATCTGGAAATCTCCTAATTTCACCATCATATTTGAGGGACATTTTTGCCAGGTATATAATACTTGGTTGAAAATTTTTCTCTTTCAAGATTTTATATATACCATCCCATTGCTGTTTCACTTGCATGGTTTCTGTTGAGAAACTGGTTGTCCTTTGTAAGTAACTTTTTGTTTTTCCCATGCTGCTTTCAGGATTCTTTCTTTATCTTTGGTTTTGATGAGTTTGATGATATGTCTTGGTGATTTTCTTTTGGGGTCTGTCCTGTTTGGGATTCGTTGGACTTCCTGATGGATATATTCTCATCTTTCACCATATCAGGGATGTTCTCCTCCAACAAATCTTGGAAAATTTTCTCAGTGGTTTTATCTTTCTCTTCCTGTTCTGGAATTCCAATGACACATAGGTTATTCCTTTTGATGGTATCCCACATGAACCTCAGGATTTCTTCATTTTGTTTTGATCTTTTTTCTGATTGATCCCTTTCCAAAGAAATATTCAGGTATTTGTTTTCAATCTCATTAATTCTGTCTTCCATTGTATCAGTTCTACTCCTTTGCCCTTCCAATGTGTTATCTATTTCTGACAATTTAGTATTACTCTTCTGGATTTCTATCTTTAGATTTTGAATCATTTCTAATTTTTTTTTTTTATTTTATCATTTATTTGTTCTTATGTTTCCTTCCAAAATTCTTCTAGGGTTTTTCATGTGTTTTCCTTGGTCTGTCTCTCAATCCTTTAAAGATAACTAAATATACTTCTTTGAATTCCTTATCAGAGAGTACCAATGCTACTTCTTCCTCAGGGATGTGTTCTGGGTCTGTATCCTGCTCCTTTGTTTCTACCACTTTATCTTGCTTCTTTGTGTGTACTGTGATGGTTTGTTGTCTTCAAGACATCATGGCATTATCGTATTTAGATCTCTGTTAACTGTTTGTGAAGAGCAGCCAAGGGTGAGTGAGGCTTTTCTTGGTGATTGCTTATCATTGGCCCATTGGTGGAGAAGGAGGTGGTGGCTGTCACCCAATAAGTGAAGCTGCAGGAGGTGTGGGTATAGTTGTGTCATTTGGGGAATGTTGCTGTCATCCACTCTTTCCAGTCATTTGGGTCCAGAATGTCCTTGGGATTCCCAGCAAGCAGGGCTTGTTCTTAAGTCCCTGCAATCTGGGAGAATGCTGTTGCTTTAAATATTCAAAATGGCCAAGCTTCTTGTAAATATTCAAAATGGCTGCACCCTCTGGACAGAGAAAAGTTCACAGCCTAGCCCACCTTCCTCTTTGCTGCTTCCCCTTTTATTCCCAGCCACCAGAGTGGTCCTCTGTGCAGTCCCTGGCTAGCAGGGCCGATTTTTAGGTTAATTCTTAGGTCTTACCACCACTCGACAATATCCAAGCTGTCTGTGCCATCAGGATTGCTGCCAGACCACAGCTCTGTACATCTCCTTTTTTGGTGTTTTCATGCAAATTCTTCTGCTAGTTGGAGTTTAGTCCATTTCTGTATCCTTCCCTTCAAGGCTCAGAGGTCCAGGATTATCTTTTGTAGCTGTGTTAATTGGTTCCCCTTTTCTTTGTTGAAGAGGGTCTATGCAGTCCTTCTGCCTATTTCACCATCTACCAGAACTCCCAGCCTTGTGTCAACTCTTAGTAACTGTAGGACCCCAAGGAAGTTACTGAACTTCTCTGAACTTACACTTTACACTTTCCTCATGAGTAAATTTAGAATCACAGTTGTATCAGTCACATAGTGTTGTTGTTGGGAGTGAAATAGTACATTAAGGGCTTAGCATATTGCTTGATACAGGGAAATGTTCAATAATTTTGACTCATAGCATCCCCTTCTACAGTTTCTGAGGTGGTATCTCTACAGAAGTAGATTGTCCAGTCTTCCTTCCCAGGAGTGGAACCACCAGCCTTTTGGTAGCAGTCAAATGCCTTAGGGACTGCATCACCAGAGCTCCCTCAATAACTTTTAGCTATTAATAATAATAAATGACCATTGTATGGTATTTCTCTTTGGTTCACATTCTTTTATGAACTCAGTAAAGAGCTGTTTTGTTTTTCCTATTCTTCCGCCTTTCCCTGTTGATTGTAAATAGGTGGATGGACACTTGAATCAAAGACTGAGAGATGATATTCTTGTAGTTCATATGGATTTGAAAAGATATATAAAAATTACATTTTGTATTTCAGTTTATTTTCTTCCTATAATCTTTTCAGAGACACATGGAAATAATTAGTGCAAAGGACTATAAGACCATGAAAACCTCAGCCTGTATGACCCTCAGACCAGAAGAACTAGATAATGCCCAGCTACCAAGCCAACAGTTGGGAACAGATCAAAGTTGGAGATCTTAAATAGAGTAGGACAAAAAATATGGAACAATTTTAAAAAACATAAAAAAAGACATGATTACCGTTGGATAAAAACAAAAACCAAACTGACTGCCATCAAGTCCTAGAGATGGGGTGATTGGATAGAGAATGTTAAACCCCAGAGACTATGGCCCCTTGTTACCTTTTGGCCATGGAATTGAACTTACTCCAGTAGTTTAACTCTAAGCCACCCAATAGACCAGCCTGTGAGCTGCATAACTACACTAGGAAGATGCTCCTTAGAATAATCAATTATGGGAGATAAAATGGTCATCATTTGCATGGAGAAAGGTAGGGAGGCACGAATGGGTTGGTGTGAATGACACAGAGGGAGGTAGTCATAGGGAGGAGAAGTGGTATAAAGGTATAAATGACGGATTACAGATTGGACACAGAGTGGCACTGAATGGGGAGGCTGTTACAGGTTTAGGGCTTTGTCTACCTCAAAGCATTTAGATAACATTTAGATAACTAATGACATAGCCCTTAGAGTAGACTACTTTTAAGCTTCCCTTGATCATGGGTGGGAAAAGCCAACATTTTACCAGTCTTGATGGACTCATGTGGTGAAACTGTAACAGGACCAGGAAAGGAGAGAATCACTTGTGAGCAGCTAAAAACTCAGCCTTAGGAGCCATTGGAACTGTGTTTGAAGCAGAATTTGGCCATTTCCTTGGTATATTTATTATTATTTTTTTTTGCCTAATATCTCTGAAGCTTAGTCTTAGTCTTCTCATCTTTAAAATCAGGAGAATAATACCAAGCTCAAAGAATTGTAAAAATAGAACTTTCTTTGATGATGGAATTCGTTTGTAATCTGTACTGTCTGATATGGGTATATATAGTCACTTGCCACGTATAGCAAAACACTTGATATTGTCCAGGGCAAATAAGTAACTGAATTTTCATTTCAATTAATTTAAATTTAAGGAGTCACATGGGGCTAGTAGCTATCATATCAGACAGCAGTAGAGATGACAGCTTTAAGGAACTGTTGCCTTGGAATATAGTCCCTAGGTGGTGCAAGTGATCAAGCACTGGGCTGCTAACTGAAAGACTGGCAGTTTGAACCCTCCCAGAGGTGCCTCAGTAGAAAGATCTGGTGAATTCCTCCTAATGATCACACCACAAAACCCTATAGAGAGAAGTTCTACTCTGCAACACATATAGTTGTCCTGAGCTGGAAATGTCTCTGTGGCAACTGCTTATTTTATTTGGAATATTAAAAAGTTTTCTTTTTAGAATTTTCTTGACTGATACATTCTCTCATTAACTCATTTTCTAGTATGTTATATGCTGTTTGGTGCAATGAAATGCAGTAAGGTCCCTATCATGGAGAAAAACAAACAAATGAGCATTTAAATAAACATAAGAAATACAACATAGAAGTATGAGATATGTCATAATATACTTTAATCTCAATCACAAAAGAATTTTCTACCAAGCTTAGAGGACTTCAGAAGAGCAAGCAATCTCTTTGGGTTGAAGTACTTGTAGAAAGAAAGGGAGGGAATTTATGTGACTATTGAAATATATTATATGCTTTGGATAAGTAGCAAGAAAGGAAGGAATAGTGTTGTAGGTGGGAGGCTTGGTATAAACATAACTGGGAGGGCAAGAACCTGTAAGATGTGATCAGAGCCCAGAGAGTAGGCTAGTTTGCTGAAATGAGATGGTTTGGAAGATGAATCAAGGTGAAAACTAAAGTTGGAGTCACATAGCTACCTTTGAATTTATGACTAAAAAGTTTGGGATTTGTCTTTCAGGCTATGAAAATTTAGAATGACTGATGATATTTAAACCAAAGACTAACATAATGAGTCACATTTTAGGAAGATAATCTTGGCAAAAGTATAAAGAACTGGGAAATGAGTTAGGAAGCCATTCCACTAGTCAAGGCAAGAGGTAAAGTTTCTGAAGCAGGAGGGTATCTCTAGAAGTGAAAAGGAAAATAGTGGTTAGATGGAGATAAGAGACATTGTAGAGATAAAACTAGTAGCTATTACTGACAGATTAGAATATGATTGATGGAAGCAATGGACAGAAGTGAGTCAAAAGATTACTCCAGTTTCCTCTTTGAGTGTCTCGGGGGTGGAAAAGTGAGTCTTGTTAAATATATAGCTTGTGATGAAAGATTGGGCCAGATATATTGCTAAGAACTCTGAAGTGAATTGGAAGTTTCATAGGGAAACTGAGTCAGTTGATGGTTCCTTGGGTACTAAGAAATTCCTGGAAGATATAGTCACTATTTAAACATTTTTGTGTTTAAAATGTTTAGTGTTTAGATCCAACACCTAATCTGAAAACCTTACTGCACTTTATGAGAGAACAGAAACATTTTTTTATATGTTAGCAAGCACATGATTTATAGAAAACTTTATACAGGTAATTAGCAATCATACCACAGTTGTAACTAGCAATTTATTGACCTTCTCTCCATCCACTTTACCACTGCTGCTCTCTACCAATCTCTATCATGTTTTTTTTCTTAGTAGACTGAGAAAGAGTGAACATAATAAGAAACTAGTATTAGAACCTGAATCTAATCTCATTTGATCTGGGTAATAAACTTTGAAATATATGTCTAGTTCTTTGTTGTTCTTTACTAGAACTGGAAGTGGAAAGTGAGACTGGTATTAGCCATGTTTTTCTTGTAGTCTTCATCATATCTTTCATTCTGAGCTACGGTGAAGTAGTTCTTCCAGTCTCCCACTGCTCCTGAAACAGTAAAGTGGAGGAGAGTCAAGAGCTGTAGTAGGAATTCTTATTTCCCTGTTCTTTTCTTTCTGTCTAATGATTTCTGTTCCACCTTCCATGGGAGGCAGTATTGGACAAACTGTTTCTCTTACTATCCTGTCATTTGCTTTTATTCTGAAGGGAAGAAGTATTTGTTGTCAAATATATGAGCTAGGGAGAGCCTTTTACCCACTGAGCCACATTAACAAGGGAATGAGACCAATGGGTTACAACAGCAGGCCTGTGGAAGGCACTTTTCTTTCTCTCTTGCCTTCTTGCACATCAAAGCACACTGGGTGTAAGAAGACTGTAAGGTTTCCAGGCTGTAAGAAGACTGAGAAGGGCCTGCTTCCGGAAGTTCCCAAAAATAGTTTTGTGAAAGGAAAGATAAATCTTTGATGTTCTTTAATTTCAATGCCTCCAATCACTCCTGTTACCTTTTCCAGATCAATTTCTTTTTCTATAATTCTTACCATCATCTGTCATCCTATGTGTTTTGCTTTTCTATTTTGTTTGTGTCAAGAATATGATACCTATGAAACCAAGGAGTTTTGTGTATTTTGTTCACTAATGTGGATAGTGACTAGGATGGTGTCTGGCAGAATGGGTCCTCAATAAATATTTGTTGGATGAATGAATCCTAAGTGGTAGCATACACTCCTATACAAAATTTATTCTCAATTTCATCTGACTTAGTTTTGATTATTTTAACTTTTTTAGCCAGGACTGTTGTGGTAGTTCAGTTTGTATGTCAACCTGGCTGGGTCTGGTTGAGTGGCTGGGCAGCTGGATGTAGTATTCCCCATGATGAGACTGGTAATCATGTCCATGGTGTAATCTATTGTGAGCAGGTGAGTAGCTGCCTTAGGGAATGTGGTCTGCTTTCGGTATTTAAGCAGAAGCTGTGGAGAATGATCTCTAGCCTATGGCACACTTGGACCCTGCACGTAGCTGTGTCATTGTTTAGCAGCCTGCCATGCTCTGCTGACTTTGAGACTTATAATGGACTTAAATTAATGGCCTGCCTTGTGGTATGGTAACATCTGGACTGTGCATTTGTCAACCTTGGGTTAGCCTCAGCAGCCAGCAGCTGTCTGAGTGAAGAAACACCTCTAGCGTTAGTGGGCCGGGAGCTGGAGGCAGAGCTGAAGCCCAAGACTGAGGGGCTTTCACCCAGCCCCTAGAGTCTGGCACTTTGAACATGGACTTAAAGCCTCCAAATTGTAAGAATAAACTCCTGCTTGTTAAGGCCATCCCATTTGTGGTATAGTTCTGTCAGAGCAGCAGTAGGTAACCAGAACAACTGTGTTGTGTGGTAGTGTTTAATTTAATGTCAGATCTCATTCTGATACTTCAATAATGGCTAATTAAACATTGCTTTCATTTACTTTGCAGTGTCGTAAATACTTTTTCTAGAATTACTCATTAGAAATCATTTTTCTTAACCATAGGATAATAAATTCCCCAAATGTTCTGAAATATTAGATAGTTCTTCTGGGATTATGACCAAAAGAAAATGTAAAAACCTTTTCTCATGAATGGAGAAATGGAGTGGTCCATGACTGCAGTAGAAATCAGGGTATAGTTTGTCATTGGATTCTGCTTCATTACATCAAATGTAGTATGATGGACAATTTTATCTAGAACTTCATCATGTAGGTTACTTCCAATAAATTCTGCCACCTTTTGAATTTCACGCTTTGGGTCCTATGATCAAAAGAAAAAAAAGTGGATTTGATATAAAATAACCCTATGGGGCAATTCTAATCTGTCTTATAGGGTCATAATAAGTTGGAATTGACTCAAAGGTATTGGGTTTTAGTTTTTACATCATCATTTCTTGAACTGTTTCTTGAAACTATGATGTTCATCTAGTGCTCATAAGGGGAAAAAACAAAACAAAACAAAAACAAAAAAACAGCCACCTATGCTCGTATGCTCACAGTACTTTTTTTTTTCTTTGTATACTGAATTTTAAAATGCACATAAAAGAAAAAAATTTAGAAGAGATATTAATATTCTGTGGTAGTCTCCCTATAAGGGAAAAATGCAGCATACTCTAAGGCACTAGAAAGCTGCAAATGATATCGTACATAAACTCACTGTATTACATATAAACTTTGATACATGGACAATTTTAGACAACCAAATGTATCAATTATTTGTTCTATGCTTTAATCCATGAATTTCTCATGGAGTCAATACAGTATGATTTAAATGTTTTATGGTTAGATAGGAGCACCTTAGATGATACTGACTCTTACCTTCTTCATGTCCTCATAGAAGAGGTAGAGAATTTGATGTTTGTCTTTGGCTTCCCACCATCCTTTCACATGGTCATACCATGAACCCCAGCACACTGAAAGACAGGGATGAAAAATGAGACACTGAGTCACAGAAGTCCAATTCACACAGATATTCCACTGAAAGGTGAATTCCTGAAGAGAGAAAGAATGTTACATTGGTGATTCCTTCATATTAAATAAGGCAGAGCCCCTTTTGTTCTAAGGAAATGATTCTTTTGGAGGTATTGATATTTTTTATAAAGGAAGGCAATGAAGGTGAATTCTGTCACCTTTCCCAGCCAGAAATTTCTCAAAAAACTCGTTCCAGGTTCCTGGATCAGGAAGTCCTTTATTCATTCTATGGAAATGGTAATAGGATACCATGTTGTCCTTGGCATTTCTTGCTACATAGATTATCTTGGAATGGAAGGAAGAGAGGAAGAAGAAAAACAGGATTAGAAGTACATAGAGTTATTACCCAGACAAGTCATTTTAGGTTGGATACCTTTCATACATATGTCTTTATTTCCCAACATTTTCTTGTGGTTTTGATGCAAGTTTTCAGAGCAAATTAGTTTCCCATTCAACAATTTATACACATTTTTTTTCGTGACATTGGTTGCAATGCCCCCCAACATAACAGCACTCTTCCCACTTCCTCATTGTGTTCCCTGTTTCCATTAGCCCATCTTTCTTGCCTTCTGAGCTTTGCTTTTGGACAAATGCTGCTGTTTTGGTTGATTGTCTGAGGAACACATTCCACAGGGGTGTTATTGTTCACTTTATAGGCCTGTCTGTTGTTTGCCCAAAAGCTGATCTCTGGGAGTGGGTTCAGTTCTGGATTTGATGAGTGTCTAAGGGCCATAGTCTTGGGGATTCCATGAGTCTATATCAGATAAGTTTGTTCTTTTTTATGATTTTGAATTTTATTTTATGTTTTCTTCCACTCTGTCTATGACCTATTGTTTTCCTGTTTAGAGCAGTCAGTAGTGGTAGCCAGGCATAATCTAGTCCTTCTAGGCTCAGACTAGTAGACCATTGGTCCTTTGGACTAATTGTTTCCTTGATTCTTTGATTTTCTTCACTCTTTTTTATTCTGGAGGAGAAGGGACCAAGGGTATCTTAGATGAATGCTCATAAGCTTTCTAGACCGCAGTTTCTACCAACCAAAGTAGGGTGAAGAACATTGTCTTTCAAAAAAAACCCAAACCCACTGCCATTGAGTCATATCTGACTCATAGCAACCTCTCCTTGGGTTTCTGAGGCGGTATCACTACAGGAGTAGATTGCCCAACCTTCCTTCTGAGGAGTAGCTGGTGGATTGAACCACCAGCCTTATGGTTAGCAGTCAAAGCCTTAGACAGTACGCTACCAGAGCTCATGCCAGTTGACCTAGATGTCTACTCAGGCTATGGTCCTAAGACCTCAAGGCCAGAGACTCATTCCCTCAAGGTAATTGGTTATGGCTAAAAAGTTTGCATAATTTTGCCCCTTTATGCGCTACTACATACCTGGACATATTTGCGATACATACAAATGCATATGTAGAATATCTTCTACCAAACCTTTATATGCTCAGATGTGTACTCCTATATTTCATCCCACATCAGTTCAGCTTACATATTTATCTATATATCCACTTATAAATTATTGTTTGATATTTTGTTATTGCAGGATTACGTGTATGATAGTATTTACTGTCACCTCTCCCTCTATGTTTTCCTTTGTTATTCTTATCTCCCTTTTATTGTATATTGCCTTTCCTTCCACCCCAGTTAATACATGTTTCCTATGAAGTTAGATTTTTTTCCTCTCTCCTCATTCCATCAAAGAGTGTAAACATCAAAGAGTGTTTCTTTCTATGTGTAAACATGTTCATGATTTTTATAGTTGTGGCCTCATACAATATTGGTGATTGACTTATTTCACTGGGCATAATATCCTCTGCATTTATCTATATTTATGTTTTTTTGATGAAGTTTATTTGTAGTTATTAGACTTTCTATCAGCATTTTGTTTTACCTTTTCCCTTTTTGCTACCACTGAGTGTAATTTCATTGTACATGGAAAACTATATGTTTTAGTACCTGACACTTCCTTTCATATGAATTTAGAAGGCTACAGGATCTAAGATTACCTAATATATAAAGGGTTTGCCATGAGGAGAACTTTTTTACAAGATCAACAAACAGAGATATCTACTAAACTTTTGCTACTCCTTTTCCTCACTGCTCTGGATGAGAATAGCTACCCAGATGAGCTACAATGGGAAGAGAACTTACATTTACTATCTACTAAATTTTAAGTGCTTGGATAAGAAACATATATCATTTCTTTTATTTTTCATAACAAACTCATGTGTGAAGTATTACTACCCTCAATTCACCCAGGATGGATAAATATATATAAAGTAGATCACATAGATTTCATAGGATGGGTATTTTTCTTGTATGTTTCTATATACATTTTCAAGGTAGGCATTGAGAGAGATGAGTTCTAGGCAGTAGAAAACAGTATTTCTGATATCTTGGCCCTTGCACTATTTCTTTTTTCTCTCTTCTTTTTAAATGACAATTTTCTTAAGGTTTCTTTTTTCTTTTTCTTTTTGCAGTGTTTCCTCCCCTCCTCTCTTACCCCTGCTAACCAACAAAGAAAGTTTCCTTCCATATATAAACATTTCCTTGACTTTATACAATAATGAACTAATATAATATTGGTTCTTCTGTCATTGACTTATTTCACTCAGCATAATGTCCTTGACATTCATCTACATTATATGGTGTTTTGCAGATTCTGCATTATTCTTTAATGTTACATAGTATTCCATTGTGTGCATGTACCATAGTTTGGTTGTTCATTCTTCTGTCAATGGGCACGTAGGTCATTTCCATCTTTTTGCTATTGTAAATAGTGTTGTGATGAACATGGGTGTGCATATGTCTGTTCTTGTCCTGCCTCTCACTTCCTTAGGATGTACCTATTAATAGAATTGCTGGATCAAATGGTATTTTTAATTCCAAATTCTTAAGGAATCTCCATACTGCTTTCCACAGTGGTTGTATAATTTTACAGTCTCACCAGCGGTGTGTGAGAGTCCCAATCTCTCCACATTCTCACCAGCCTTTGTTATTTTCTGTCTTGTTGAACTTTTCTATTAGTGCTGGGGCAAGATGCTATCTCATTGTTTTGGTTTGCATTTCCCTGTAGTGATACTGGGAGCTCTGGTAGCATAGTGGCTAAGACACTTGCCTGCTAACCAGACGGCTGGAGGTTCAAACCCACCAGCCACTCCTCGGAAGGAAGGTTGGGCAATCCTACTTCCATAGTGATACTGCCTCGAAAACCAAGGAGGGGTCGCTATGAGTCAGGTTTGACTCGATGGCACATAACAACAACAACATAGTGGTACTAGCTGTTGTTGTTGTTGTTGTTATGTGCTGTCGAGTCGGACCAGACTCAGAGCAACCCCTCCTTGGGTTTCTGAGGCAGTATCATTACGGAAGTAGATTGCCCCATCTTCCTTCCAAGGAGTGGCTGGTGGGTTTGAACCACCAGCCTTCTGGTTAGCAGGCAAGTGTCTTAGCCACTATGATACCAGCTAGGAAACGCAAAGAGGGGTCACAATGAGTCAGATCAGACTTAGCAGTGAGCTTTTTGAGTAAATGGTTAATGATCATGACATTTCTTTCTGTGTTTGTTGACCGCCTGAATATCGTCTTTGGTGAAGTGTGTATTCATGTCTGCTGCCCATTTTTATTTGATTTGTCTGTCCTTTTGTTGTTGAGGTGTTGGAGTTTTCTATAAATTTTAGCGATAAGTCCCCTGTCAGGTATGTCATTGCCCAATATTTTTTTCCCAATCTGTAGGTTCTCTTTTGACTCTTTTGGAGAAGTCTTTGGAAGCACATAAAAACTTAATTTTGAGAAGGTCTCTTTCATCTAGTTTATCTTCTGCTGTTTGTGCATTTTGAGTTATGCTTATAGTCTATTTATGCCATAAATTCTACCAAAACCAAACTCATTGCTGTCAAGTCGGATCTGACTCATAGCAACCCCTCCTTGGGTTTCCAAGGCAGTATCACTATGGAAGTAGATCACCCAATCTTCCTTCTGAGGAGTGGCTGGTGGATTTGAACGGCCAGGCTTCTGGTTAGCAGTCAAATGCCACACAGGCACTACGCTACCAGAGCTCTTTAATTAGGGCCCTAAATTTGCCCCTAGTTTTTCCTTGAGGAACTTTACAATTTTAGGTTTCACATTTAAGTCTTGATCCATCTGGAGTTAGTTTTTGCGTTTACATTTTTTTAAAATGCAGGGTTCTTGTGATCTTAGCTGTTATGGAAGAAGAACAGGATTCATATCAATTTCTGTATTGATTAATGTGACAGTGTTGCCTAGTTCCCCCTCTTCTGCCTCTTAACATTAGGTGAAGAGGTTTAATAGGATATTGATTGAAACCACTCCAAGGTGGCCTTGGATAGAGTGGGAGAAAAATGTGGAAGAAAACTCAAAATCATGAAAAAGACCAGTCTTATTGTCTGATTGGGACTGGTGGAATCCCCAAGACTATGGTTCTTGGACACCTTTCATACCTGGATTGAACTCATCCCTGTGGCTCAACTTTCAACCAAATGATGTTGTTGTTGTTGTTATGTGCCGTCGAGTTGGCCCCGACTCATAGTGACCCCTCCTTGGGTTTCCGAGGCAGTATCACTACGGAAGTAGGATTGCCCAACCTTCCTTCCGAGGATAGACAGGCTTATATATAAGGTAAACAATATTACCAGGGTGCACGCTCTTTAGAACAATCCATCTTATGAGATCAAAGGGCAGCATTTGCTCAGGAATAAAGTTCAGATGTCAGGAAGGGTTGCAAAAGAAGGAAGATTGGAATTGGTGAACACAAGCAGGAAGTGGGAAGGGTGCTATTACACCGTGGAGATTTCCATCAATGCCACAAAGCAAAATGTGTTTGAATTGTTGACTAGAAATCCAGTTTCCTCTGTAAACTTTCAAACACATCACAATAAAAAATACATATACAAATAAAAATTGTCAAATAAAGAAAAAGAAAAGAAACCACTTTAAGGTCATTCTGTAATATAACTTTGAATTCCTTTTGTTCTTTACCTTACAGTTTTTCTCTAGGAAGGAAGGAGGTAGTAGCTCAATTGGAAGATGAGTTTTCAGAGTCCGTGGTGAGGGCATTTCATTAGCTTGTTCCAAACCTGAAAAATTGCCTTTTGGTCATTTTCTACTTTTTTTTCTCAATTTGTTTCAAAATCTTGCTGCTTCTGTTATTACTACTTTAGGAACAATTCAAGGTAGCTGCAAGAACGCTCTGTCTATAGATCTGATCTGAGAGACTACATCTAGTCCAGGAATGAATTTTTTGGTTAGAGAAGTTCCTAATCCTACCAACCAAGCAACCAAATAAAAATATGAAAAATCAAACCCTTCATGAAATTAACCTGTTGGACTCATTCTTAAGAAATAAAATTAATTACTAATTAAACCAAAGAAACCAAACCTGCTGCTGTTGAGTTGATTCCAACTCAGAGTGACTCCCATTGGGTTTCCAAGGCGGTAAATCTTTATGGAAGTAGATTGCCCAGTCTTGCTTCCATGGAGTGGCTGGTAGGTTTGAACCACCAACCTTCTGATTAGCAGTAAGATGCCTTAGGCACTGTGCTACCAGGGCTCCTTAATTTCTAATTAGATAATTAAAATTAACTTACTCCTAATATTTAACATCCTTTTTTTTTTTTTTTAAAGAATGCCATTTGAAAATGTCTTTGATATAGAAATGACCAGACACAGTTAAAAAAATGACAAAGCCATAAAATCTATTAGTAACTGTTTGAATGACTAGAATTTTGACCATGGCTTATTGGTAGTAAAAGTCTTAAGTGTATATTTAGGACTGTATTCTCCTTCGGCAATTCAATACTCACCACACTGTATTGCTGGAATTACCAATTCGATGAAGGGAATTCGTTCATAAATAGGTGCTCGTCTACTTTTGTCAACATCACCTTTATTTTGCATTAAGTCCACTATCTCCTGTGTCCAAGTTGTTCCTATTCCACATGTAAGATAAGGACCCATAGACATTTAGTGTACCAGATTCCTTAAAATATGAACAGATACTTAGAATATATATGTGAATTTTAAAGTCAGTTTTATAAACGTTCAGAAAACATTATTCCTTATTTATGTCTTGCGCTATCATAATTTGAAATTTTAATAGAGGCTAAGCTGGAGTGGGCATTTGATTGATACACAGTTTACTATTTTTTTCTGTCACAACCATTAATTTGAATTGTCATACTATTGAGTCAGACACAGTGTTCTTAAGGAAAGGAGAAAGAAAAATCTGAAGGTCTTTCTCAAGAGATTGTGATCTCCTGGAGAGTAATGTCTATGTGGTTTTCAAACAGTTTTCCAAGCACCTAGCTTGGGGCTACCACATAAAATGTACTATGTATATGTTGGCTAAAAACTGATGATTAGTGCCTCAGCTTGATTTTTACCATTAGCTCTCAGTATTGGATTTTACCTTCTCCTTGGTTTTCTCCTTATATTAGGGGTTGAAAGGCTAAAATGTGGGTTTCCAAGGCATCCTTGCCCCTAAAGTCCTCTGTACTGTTTTGATTTTGCCAATAACATGCATTCCCCTGAGATTTGGAAGGCAGAAGGGAAGGTCATCTTTCCTCCTGAAGAAGTGGCAGGTGATGGAGACTCCAACAGACAGAAATTTTTTCAGAGGTCATTCCACATCACACTATCCAGTACCCTAAACCTGAGAAGCTGCATAATCACTGCTACCACTTCAACAGCAAGTGGGGCCTCAGTCTCCCACTTTCAATCGGTTATGTGCTGAATACTGACAAATTCTGTGTTGGATGTTGAACAATGCTAGGTCTACAATAAGGAATCAGTTAAAAAACCCACTGCTGTGGAGTGGATTCTGACTCATAGTGACCTTGTAGGACAGGGAAGAACTACCCTATAGAGTTTACAAGGCTATAAATCTTTATAGAAGCAGACTGCCACATCTTTCTCCCACAAAGCTAGTGGCTGGTGGGTTCTAACTACAAACTTTTGGTAATCAGCCAAGTGCTTAATCTCTGTACCACCAGGGATCTCTAGGACATGGATTAGAAAGCAATAAATATTTATAGTCCTATATTCTATATGTCTGTCAGTTTGTCGTACTGTGGTGGCTTCTGTGTTGCCATGAGGCTGAAAGCTATGCCACCAGTATTTCAAATACCAGCAGGGTCACCCATGATGGACAGGTTTCAGCGGACCTTCCAGACTAAGACAGACTCAGAAGAAGGAAGGGACCATCCCACTTCTCAAAGAATTGACCAGTCAAAACCTTACAAATAGCAGTGAAACACTGTCTGATATATTACTGGAAAATTTTATGAATAGCCTTGAAGCATTGTCTAATATAGTGCCAGAAGGTGAGCCCCTCAGGACAGAAGGCACTCCAGGTATGACTGGGGAAGAGCTGCCTCCTCAGAGTAGAGTTGACCTTAATGCTATGGATGAAGTAAAGCTTTTGGGACCTCCATTTGCTGATGTGGCATCACTCAAAATGAGAAGAAATGGCAGCAAACATCCATTAATAATAGGAATGTATGAAATATGAATCTAGGAAAACTGGAAGTTGTCAAAAATGGAATGGAATGCGTAAAGATCAATATCCCAGGCATTAGCTGGGATGAGCTAAAATGTACTGTTTGGGCCATTTTTAATCAGACAACCATACGATATACTGTGTCAGGAATGACAGATTGAAGAGGAATGGTGTGGCATTCGTCATCACAAAGAATGTTTCAAGATCTATCCTGAAGTACAGTGCTGTCAGTGATAGGATAATATCCATACATCTACAAGGAAGACCAGTTAATACTATTATTATTCAAATTTACACACCAAGCACCAAAGCCAAAGATGAGGAAATTGAAGATTTTTTACCAAATTTTGAAGTCTGAAATTGACCAACCATACAATCAAGATGTGTTGATTATCACTGGTGATTGGAATGCAATAGTTGAAAGCAAAGAAGAATTACTGGTATTTGGAAAATATGGCCTTGGTGATAGAAATAGCCCTGGAGATTGCATGGTAGAATTGTGCAAGACCAATGACTTATTCATTGCACATATCTTTTTTCAACAACACAAACGGCACCTATACACATAGAGTTCACCAGATGGAATACACAGGAACCAGATCAACTACATCTGTGGCAAGAGGCAATGGAGAAGCTCAATATCTTCAGCCAAAACAAGGCCAGGGGCTGACTGTGGAACAGATCATCAGTTGCTCATATGCAAGTTCAAGTTGAAGCTGAAGATAAAAGAAGTCCATGAGAGCCAAAATATGATCTTGATTATATCTCTCCTGAATTTAGAGACCATCTAAAGAATAGATTTGATGCCTTAAACACCAGTGACTGAAAACCAGAGGATTTGTGGGATGACATCAAGAACATCATCCATGAAGAAAGCAAGACGACATTAAAAAGATAGGAAACAGGAAAGGAAGAGAAGACTAACATAGATGTCAGAAGACACTCTGAAACTTGTCCTTGAATGGAGAGTAGCTAAAGCAAATGGAAAAAATGACAAGATAAAGAGCTGAACAGAAGATTTCATAGAGCAGCTCAGGAAGATAAAGTCAATTATTATAGTGAAATGTGCAAAGACCTGGAGTTAGAAAACCAAAAGGAAAGAACATGCTTGGTATTTCTCAAGCTGAAAGAAAAAATTCAAGCCTCGAGTTGCAATATTGAAAGATTCTATGGGCAGAATATTGAATGATGAGGGAAACATAAAAAGAAGATGGAAGAAATATACAGAGTTACTGTACCAAAAAGAATTGGTCGATGTTCATCCATTTCAGGAGGTGGCATATGATCAAGAACCAATGTATTGAAGGAGGAATTTGAAGCTGCACTGAAGGAATTGGCAAAGAACAAGGCTCCAGGAATTGATGGAATACCCATTGAGATGTTTCAACAATGCATGACCCACTGGAGGCACTCACTCAGTTATGCCAAGAGATTTGGGAGACAGATACTTGGCCAACTGACTGGAAGAGACCCATATTTGTACCCATTCTAAATAAAGGTGATCCCACATAATGTGGAATTTACCTAACAATATCATTAATTGCGTGTTACCCTCACACGCAAGTAAAATCTTACTGAAGGTAATTCAAAAATGGTTGTGGCAGTATATTGACAGGGAACTTCCAGAAAATTTAATCCTGAACAGACTCATGATGAGTAAGATTGGAAAGTCAGGACCAGTTTGAAAGTAATGGACTAAGAGACAAAGGATACTCCACATTGAAGTCCCCTTGTGCTGCCTTCTCCCCTCTTCTCTGCAAGACCTTTTATTATTATCTTTAAGAAAAGGGACAAGAGGGATTTGAACACACAGTCTCTGAAAGTGCTTAGGTTTAGATTTTTGGTGTGTGTGGGAGGGCAGGAGTTACTGACATGGAACTTGATTTTCCAAAAGACAATGTGCGTACATTTCAGGAGGTGGATTGAAACTGTATATTTATTTACTTATATTTTTGAAACTGTATTTTTAGTATATAGGTAGACATACACAATTATCTGTCAAGAACAATTTCCCTCTGCTTACCTCAGAGATTTTAAGATGCAATGGCTGGGTTCAAGGTAGTCTTACTTGTACAGACAACTTTGTTAAACTAATTATTAAAATAAGGAATTGAGTTACTACGTAGCAAGAAGGAAGGTGGAAAAAATAGTTTTACCCTCAGATGAAAGTGCTTCTGAAGGAGAGATCTGGTGGCACAGTGCCTAAGACATTTGACTGCTATCCAGGAAGCTGGTGGTTCAAACCCACAGCCACTCCTCAGAAGGAAAATTGGGCAATCTACTTCTATAGAAATACCTCCTTGGAAACCCAGGGAGAGGTCCCTATGAGTCAGATTGCCTGGCAGTAAGTTTGGTTTGATTTTGAGGGCTACTCAGGGGAGATCAGCATTGCAGAACTAAAGCTCTCCTGTTACTTTTTCCACATCAGCCTTGAGATCCCCTTTTCACCTCACACTTCAAAAGCAGCCTTTTTCAAGATTTGCAATAAGGGTCTAGATTGAGAATCAATAAATAAAACAAGTCTCGCCCATTCACTCTTGAGTGTTTAATTTACTTTCTCCTATGGAAATAAAAAATATGTGTGTCATAAAACCAAACCAAACTCACTGCCTTCGAGTTGGATTTGACTCACAGCAACCCCTCCTTGGGTTTCTGAGGTGGTAATTCTGAAAATTTGTCAGACATTTTAATACTTTTTGTGCAGTTTCTGTTTCAGTTTCCACAAGTAACTTATCTTAGTATATCAATCTGCCTAGTAAACAGTTTTCCACTCAAGCCCAGGAGAGAAGCTTTTTTATTTCGTCATTAATGTGCCTTTCCCACACACCTTCCTAACTCTCTGGTCACTTCCACTTCCCACCTACCTGCTTTGGGATAGGTAGCAATAAGCAGATCATCAGGCTTGGCCTCAAAGTTCCAGATCTGATCCCAGATTTCACATGTCGAAGTGGGCAGAAGAATTCCCTTCACGTAGTCCACAGTTATGCGCTCCATTTCTCCAATTTTTAAATCTTTCATCTTGTTTAAGGCCATGAGTGTCAGAAATCAGAGTACTGTTCAAGAGAAAAAGCTGTGAGTAAGCACAGGGCATACATTTTTGATATACAAAGAATGGAAAACTCAGCCCACAAACTGCCTGAGACAGCCTGAAGCAAACCTGCGAATGGAGAGAAATATAGTCCCAAACCTGCTGCTACAAGTTCCAGGGCAGTAGCAGCTCTTGTTTTTGACTTTGTACACAGGCATTTCCTTCAGGCCTCCTCCCTCTGTGACGTAGTACCAGAGGTGGTTACAAGTCCTAACTGTTGTTTCAGTTTCTAATCCTGCTCTTCTCCAGCAGTTTAACAAAGAATTAATGTCACAGTATGTTTTTCACCTTTGTGTTCATAAAATAATTCACAGATGTTTCCATTAATTGTTTCTCCTGGTAGTTTAAAACTAATTAAAAGATTATGGGCAACTTGGTCAGTGGAATTTCACATTACAACATAGGATTATTTTCCTGAAAGACTGAAGGGGAATTTCTGTGTGCTGTCAACAGTAACACACTAGATTCTGAACTTCCCAAGCATTAGAGAGGGCCAGTCTTGTTATTAAGAGTAAAATAAATAATGCTTTATTGAAGATGATCCTCCTCTTTTGTAACCTAATCCACAAAATCAGAAGGGGTCCCTTCATATCTATTAAAACATGTTGCTGTGTTGTTGTTGTTGTTATGTGCTGTCGAGTGGGACTCGACTCATAGCGACCCCTCCTTGAGTTTCCAAGGCAGTATCACTATGGAAGTAGACTGCCCCATCTTCCTTCTTAGGAGTGGCTGGTGGGTTTGAACCGCCAGCCTTCTGGTTAGCAGTCAAGTGCCTTAGGCACTAAGCTACCAGAGCTCCTTATTAAAACATGCACACATCTTATTTAAAGCAAAATGGATGCAAAAAAAAAAAAAAAAAAGAAAGAAAGAAAAGAAAAGAAGAACTTCCCCCAAAACAAACCCTCTAGATTTTCATAAAAGATGATAGATGTGTTAAAACCAAGGTGTTGAACTGGTTTGTTATAAGAATCACCTGGGGATCTGGCTAAAATGTGGATTCTGAGTCAGTATTTCTGGGGGTGGAAATGCAAATTTTCAGCAGTGGATCAAAACAGAATGAGCTAGTTTGAAGCCCTGTTTAAGACACACACACCCTTGGAGGTCACTTGCTAGCCTCATTCCAGATTCCCTTGCAAACCTTTCTTTTTTCCTAAGGGCCCTGGGGGTTTGTTCAGCCTGCTCACCTCTAAAACAAGGTCAAGAGCCCTCTTACTTTTTAAATGATAATTATTACAACTTACCCATCCATTTTTCCTGTTTCTTTTCTTACCCCAGAATCCATTTTGAATACCAAAGTTACCACTTTAATTTCTTGGTTAAATCCTTTCACTGGGTTCCTTTGCAAACCTTGACCACATTCTGTGAGGGCCTCCACAATGAGGCCTCTGTCTATACCCCCATATTATATGACACTTTCTGTCTTTCACAGGGCTTCAGCCACAAAGGACCCCTTCTTGCTTCGATAGGTACTGGGCTTCCTCCTACATTGAAACTGCCATTTCTTCTCCTGGAGATCTCTGTCTGACTCTTGGATGTCCGGTTCTTGTCTGGTTTGTTGTGTTCCTTCAGGTCTCAGCTTAAATGCCCCCTGTCCAGGGTGACATAACCTGGCCTACGACATGACATCATTTCATTGGTCTCTTCTGTTTTCTTGCTCATGGCATCTGTTTCCTTTAGAGCAGCTATGCAAATTTGGTTTTGTTTACTTCCTAATTTTCTATCTCCTTTACTAGACTCCAAGGTACATGACCACGCCCTAGGCTGTGCCTTGTTTTTTTCACTTATGTATCAGGTAAATGCCTAGTATCTACACTGTACCATACTATTTCTTGAGTGAATAAATGAGTAAAATTAAACAAAAAATTGAGAAGAGAGGGTCTTAGGCCACCAATACGGTGGTAATTAGTCAGGCTTGGTGACTGTGGCTTGGTAGTTTCTAGACAGAAGTCAGACTTTTGGAGAAATACATTTGGAGAAATTAGTCAATCACAAAAGAACAACTACAGTATGAGTCCACTATTGTAAAACATCAAGCAAAAGTTTTCATAAAAAAAGAATATTGTATGATGGTGGGTAGTGCCTAAGGCACTTGACTGCTAACTAGAAGGCTGGCTGTTCAAACCTGCCAGCCACTCCTTGGAAGGAAGGTTGAGCAATCTACTCCCGTAGTGATACCCCCTCGGAAACCCAAGGAGGGTTCACTATGAATTGGATCTGACTCAATGGCAGTGAGTGTGGTTTGGTAGACACATATTAACTTGGGTGAAGGAAAAATAAAATAAATATATGTGCATGTTATGTTGTTGTTAAGTGCCGTCGAGTCGTTTCCGACTCATAGCGACCCCATGCACAGCAGAACGAAACACTGCCCGATCCTGCACCAGCCCCACAATCCCTGCTATACTCGAGCCCATCATCGCAGCCACTGTATCAATCCATCTCGTTGAAGGCCGCCCCCTCTTTCGTCGACCCTCCACCCTACCAAGCATGACATCCTTCTCCAAGGAATGGTCCCTTCTTACAACATGACCAAAATAGGTGAGACGAAGTCTGGGATATGTGCATATTAAAGATTAAATGTAAGCATTAAATGAAAAGCATGTGAACCCATTGGCTTGGTTTTGTCACCTTTTAGATATGTAAGAAATGATTACTATTTTTTTTTTAATGATGATTATTATTATGGTAGGAATCACTTGTCACAGAATGTTTGAACTCTATAAGAGTAGCCTAGTCTCTGCTTTAGTACACATCTACCTAGGAAATCATAGGTCTTAGAGATTATTTTTGACATTCATCTCAGTCTTAGAGAGTACTGAATCTCTAAAAGTTTCGTGCTCTACTTTTCTTCCCTCAGCATTGCTTCAGTGGACGTACCAACTGCTTGCATCTGTGACTGTTTTTTTCCTTTTATTTTAGGTATAATTTCTTGATTGACTCTCACCTCTTTTAATCTACGTGATCTTTAGCTATATTCACATATTAAATCAGGTTCCAGTCAAGTCTTATAGGCCTGGGAGCCATTCTATTTTGTTAAGTTAGTATTTTATATCACTGTTCTAAATATTGATCTCAGTTTAACCAATGGTAGTTCATTTCTCTTATTCTCTCAGTTCTTGGAAGATAACATATTCTAGCTTAAGAATTTTCAGATTTACTTTTCTTTCTTTCTTTCTTTCTTTTAAAAATAAAGTAGATTCATGTGTGTCCTGTGATATATTAATAAATGAAAAATAAGGAGCAAACCACTTAAAACATTATATATTCAAAGCCTGATTATGAAAAATTACTAAAGTTATTTTAGTAATAAAATAACTAAAAAAAGCAGATAAGAAAAATGAAGCTGTGAGAAGGGAACCTAGGGGTCTGATAAGATCTGACATGATATTTTCATTAGGGTCATGGTTTATTATTTCATTTAAAAAACATTTATTGGGTACCAATAATATTGTAGGAAGAGTTGTTATCTTTAAAGAACTTCCAATAATTAATTATCATGTAAAAATTAATACAATATAATGTCATAAATGACATAAGAATAGAGGGACAAACCATAATATGATCCTACTTCCCATCCTAATGGTAAATGTCAGAAAAAAGAGAAAATAACACATGTTGGGGAGGATGTGGAGAAATTAGAACTTCTTTGTACTGCTTTTGTGCATTTCTGGTTGGAATGTGAAATGGTGCAGCCACTGTGGAAAGCAGTTTTGTTGTTTCCCCAAAAGTTAAACATACAACTAATGTATGTCTTAGCAATTCCACTCCTAGGTTTATACCCATGAGACTTGAAAACGAGGACACACATACATACTTGTACACCAATGTTCATTGCAACATTAGTCACACAGCAGCCAAAAGATGGAAACAATCCAAATGTCCATCAACAGATGAATGGATAAACAAAATGTAGTGTATATGTATGTTGTTGTTAGGTGTTGTCATGTTAGCTTCAACTAATAGAGACCCTATATACAACAGAACAAAACACTATAATCTTACATCATGCTAGCCATCCTTGCTATGCCTGAGCCCATTGTTACAGCCACTGCGGCAATTCATCTCATTGAGCATCTTCCCCTTTTTTGTTGATCCTCTACTTTACCAAGCCAAAGAGTGGTCCCTTCTGACAGTATGACCAAAGTAGATGAAATGAAGTCTGGCTCTTCTGGTTTCTAAGGAGTATTCTGGCTGCACTTCTTCCAGGACAGATTTGTTCGTTCTTCTGGCAGAACATGGTATTTTCAGTATTCTTTGCCAACAGCACAATTCAAAGGCATCAACTCTTCTTCAGTCTTCCTTATTTATTATCTACCTTTCACATGAATATGAGCCAATTGAAAATACTGTGGATTGGGTATTTTTGTCAGCATACCTTAGTCTGCAAAGTGACATCTTTGCTCCTTAACATTTTAAAGAGGTCTTTCGCATCAGATTTGCCCTGTTCAATATGATGTTTGATTTCCTGACTGCTGCTTCCATGGGTGTTGTGGATCCAAGTAAGATGAAATCCCTACTTCAATCTTTTCTCCATTTATTGTGATGTTGCTTATTGGTCCAGTTGTGAGGATATTTGTTTTCTTCCTGTTGAGGTTTAATCCATACTGAAGACTGTAGTCTTTGATCTTCATCAGCAAGTGCTTCAAGCCCTCTTCATTTTCAGCAAGCAAAGTTGTGTCATCTGCATATTGCAGGTCATTAATGATTCTTCCTCAAATCCTGATGCCATGTTCTTTTCCTATAGTCCAGCTTCTCAGATTATTTATGCAGCATAAAGATTGATTAAGTATGATGATTTTACCCTTCTTGATTTTAAACCATGCAGTTCAAATGAGAGCCTCTTAGTGGTCTGTTTACAGGTTTCTCATAAGCATAATTGCAGGGAAGGGGATGAAAGCCTTGAGCCCCAGGCTTACGGGTGAGGAGAGACAACGCAGGGACGCCA